AGCGAGAAACCAAGGTTCGGGTTGGCCAGACCCTTTGTGATCCTTGATATCTTCCCCTTTAGCTACTTTTTGAATCTATTGAATTTTTGTTAAATCGATTGTAAATTCTCCGTGTGCAGAAGATAAAGGGTTGATGTAGAAATTACGGCGGCGGTATCCCACCGGCTGAAATAGTTTATTAAGAATCTTACGGCTGGTGGTGTGCCGCTGACTTATTAAATAATTGGAAATATTTTGCGGGGCGGTATGCCACCGACTTATTACATGATTGGAAATATTGCGCGGGGCAATATGCCCCCAACTTATTGCTGAAAAGAAATTAAATGGAGCCCACGTGGGAAAATAATAAATATTAAGTAAAGTATTTTTTCAGGATTGCGATTGTTCTAGGAATTCGCTCAAGTGCCCATCTTGGAGAAGTCTTTCGAGTGATTGCTTAAGCTGAAAGCACTCCTCAGTAATGTGACCCAGATCTCTGTGGTATTCACAGTAGTTATCCGACTTTTGTCGTTCCGAATTCTCCTTCATCCTTCTCGGCGGTTGAAGAATACCCTTCCGCTTAGCGATATCATCATGTCAACAAGTTTATCCTTGAGAGGTGAGAACGTCTCGAAGGTGCGATTTTCGACGGGATATCTAAATTCTTCTCTATTATAGTTGTGGCTTTCCACGTCGCGCTTTCGTTTAAGGGGTACTCTCATCTCCGTGATCTCCTCAATCCGTATGTACTCTTGAAAACGAACATGCTTAGGGGGTCGGCCCGCGATGGACTCTTGAAAACGAACATGCTTCAAATTTTGCTGTAGTATGCCAGCTAACATCTCGTGATTAACGTGGCGCACTTCATGTACTGCTTTGACAAATCGTTGTATGTAATCTCTGAGCGGCTCTCCGTCTCGTTGTATGACCTTGAAGAGATACGATCCAGTTTTGGTAAATTTCTTATTTATTGAGTAGTGGTTAAGGAAATGTGTCGCTAGTTGGTCCAGATCGTCTAAGGATCCTCCGGGCAAACCGTTGAGCCAAACTTGTGTCTGATCAGTCAGCGTAGTCTGAAAAATCTTGCAGTAAGCTGCGTTACTGAGGCCGTAGATGTCAAGCTTGGCGTAAAAGTTATTTAAATGATCTTGGGGATCTCCGGTCCCGTCAAATTGGGGTAGATTGGGGATCATAAATCCGAGAGGTAAGACTTCTTCCATATTGGCAGGAACAAATGGGCTTATTCGAGCGGGGAATGTTTCAAAGCAAGTGGTCATTGGCCTCGAAGCTTTTCGTCGAGGTCTCCTTGAGTTACGGTCATCAAAGCCGTCACGACTCCTTCTTGTGTCTTCAGGTCGGGAATATCTACTTCCAAATTTATTTCCAATAGAGTCTCTACAGCGAAAGGAGCGTTCGCGATTCCTGTTGTCTCGTGACTCGTGGCGTGCAACACCCGGCCGAGAAGAACCACTTCTCTCTCGACGGCTATGCGCCGCTCTCTCCCTTGGAGGAGCGAGCCCTCTGCCTCAAGGGGCGTGGTGATCGGCGGCGAGCTTCTCTTCGAGGGGGGCGGTTCGATGATGGGTTGCGATGAGGCGATTGGTGGTGAGCGTGTTTTCGAGGGGTTCGTTCGGAAGAGAAAATTTGATCGCTGAGGGACACTCTCTCCTCTGAGTCGTAAAGTTCCACGATCGGTGGAATGGAGTGGATATGGAGGGAATCCACAAGATTATTTTTTGTCGGAGTTGGCTCTTGGAAGTCGGCTCTACCCTGAGTAGCAACGCATAGCGCCACCGCCTCTGTCGCCGCCCAAGCTGCTGCTTTGGCCGCCGTTTCATCCATCATGGCTTGGAAATCCTCCGCTGAACACCTCGTTGGGTGGGTTGCTCCCGTAGTTCTTTTCCTTCGAGGCGGCTTCAGGACTCCGCCACTACCTTGAGGCGGCTGGTTGGGATCGCCTTGACCCTCTTTGTTGGCCGCTGTCGTAGTTCTTTTGCTTCGAAGCAGCTCTGAGACTCCACCGCTACCTTGAAGCGGTTGGTTGGGATTGCCTTGACCACCTCCGTTCGCGACACGTGCTCTAGTTTGCATTCCCACAGACGGCGCCAAAATGATGCTGCTCCAAAATGTTGGGTCAGCCCAATGGTCTTGAAGCCCACAAGTCTCCTAAGTCCGGGAATCTTCAAGCCCAATATTGGGAATACCGAGAGTCCTTGCCACGTGTCCGAGGTAGTCGAAGGGATCGCTCCACTCGTTAACCTACAAAACAGTTGAAAACACTAGGTGACACGCCGGGGGTGGTCGTTAACCTACAAAACAGTTGAAAACACTAGGTGACACGCCGGGGGTGGCCCGGCGATTGTCCTCCGACGCTCAAGTCAGAAAACTATCACAATATAAGCAAATAATATTAATTAATTGCTTAAATAGTGCTTACCCTATTATGTGAATGATAACACATATTTATAGGTGGAGTTTAATGTGATTTTCTTGTTAAAAACCAATGTGGGACAAGTTGAATGTAATTAAGAATGTTAATTGAATTTTTCCTTTAGATGGGCCAATTTGAGCATCTTGAGCCTAACTCCAATTATACACATCAGTATCTATTCTCGAACGACCATGGATATTAGAGTCATGCATAAGTAGTAAAAATCAACCTTCCACAACTTCTAATGTGGTGCATATCTCTTAACTATCACTAGCTTGCGTGCAAAGACCGATACCTCGCATTGAGCACTAATTATCCCATATAAGTGATACAAACATCAAAGTTTAAGAGTGTGGTGTGAATAAACTTGATTTATATGCAAATAAATATGGGCTTGAGATCTATGTATTAAAATAAGAGTTTAAACTCATACTCTAGAAGTTATAGTCCAATAAATCCATGTTCTAAAATTTAGTCTAAATTTTTCATAAAAGCATATCTAATTATTTTAGAATAAATACATATGCTTTTATGAATAGTTCTAGTAGATAAATTATAACCTTTAAACGAAGATGCAGTGGCATAAACACAACGATTGGTTATTAAAGTTACTTAGTATATATATGAGTGTTTGTTTAATCCTACACCCAGTCAACTTCATTAGCTGTAAAATTTATCATGTATGTTATTAACAAACATTCATTATAAATTGGACTCCATATCGTTTTCTTTTCACTCCAGACATCGATTTTACAACAGTAGACATTGTAGAAATTGTGGAAATATAACTAAAGATATCGATTTTACGACATCAGACACGAGGTTTACTTCAATTTGAGAGATACTAGGAAATTGAAAACCTGGAGTTGGCTGAGTTGCAGCCAAATGAGTCGAAAATGCACAAAATCTAACTAATGAGGCTGACCGGCGATTTAAGTATTTACAGAATCACGAGAAAGGGAAATGAAAATTAGGCTATGGATATGTACAATACGCTTATTAATATGTAATAAATGGCAAATATTACCATTCATAAAATGAACCATTAAATAAATAAGGGTTAATAGCATTTAGCCCCCTATACTTTGACCGTTTTTGCGTTTTGCCACCTTAACTAAAAAAAGTTGCACGGCACACCCAAACTCACTATTTTGAGGCACATAACCACCTGAAGAGAATATTCCGGCGAATCTTCTCATTTTCCGACGCACGCCCGATGCACATGCTTAATGTAAGAGTTTTTTGGTCATTTCCACTAACAAAAATTGTGGGCCCTAATTATTTTCACAATTTTATCATCTTCTTCAAGTGGCTGGAGAGAAGAACTTCCGATCAAGATGAGGTGGTGGATATGGCAGAAGAAGAACTTCCGATCAAGATGAGGTGGTGGATATGGCAGAAGTTCTAGAGAAGAGTCATCAATTCAAGAAACTCCATCAATTTTATCTCCTCTTCAATGGCCGCCATTGTCAAGCCTTCTTCAAACAACTTCACTAATTATTCTAAATATTATTCTCACAAGATAATTCCTCCCCCTCGAATCAGTATTTCACCGCCACCTCCTCCACGGCGGCTCTTCCATTCGCCCCAGCACCACCTCCATCAAGGGCTCTTCTGCGAAGAACTCAGTTTCATGAGGCCGATTAGAGGGGGTTCTCGTGTACCAAAGCCCTCATTTTCCTTCGCTGCCGCCCATCAACATCAACATCTAGAGTTTCGCTGCTAATGGCGGCATCTTCTGCCGGAGGTAGACTAAATATATCGGATTGTGGCCCAAAAATAATTCCCCCATTTATCGTTATCATACTTCAAAATCGAGAACTAGGTTTCAATTCCGAGGAATAATTTTCTGGAAAATTTTGTTTCTCCATCCCTTAACAATTATGACCCAACAATTGTGAAAAAATCTATTTTTTTGCTTTAATCATAGATGGCTGATAATTCCGAATCGGAAAGATGAATGTAATCAATACACCTGCCTCTATCTGTGCAACCCACTCATTCGAAATTACATCATTGATCTAAAAAAAATACATAATAAATTAGTATGAGATAGCTTAAAAAGTGTGAATTAGCCACTATGAAATTCTCTACCGAACATAGGTTCTGGAGATTTAGAGAGAGAGGTATATCATAAAAAGTCAAAGAAAAAATGGGATTCGATTATTTTATTTTCCTCTTGCACAAGTCACAGCTCAGAAGTCGAAAAGGAGTGAGGAAAAAACACTTTCTCTTTCTGATAAAAAAAATGGTGAGGAAACGATCATCGAATCAGAGAAAGTTGTTGGGTTTGTGGATTCTCACTGCTTATGAGGTATGAGGAAGGGAAGAAAATCAGAGATGGAGGTACGAGATAGAGGGAAAATTGGGCGAAATTAGGTCTTCCAAGGATATGCAAAGGAAAAGTCAAAAAAGCCCATGTACTTTCGCATGTGCAGTGTGCGTGCGCCGGAAAGTGGGAAGATTCGCCAGAATATTCCCCCAGGTGGTTATGTGCGTCAAAAATGCAAGTTTGGGTGCGACCGTGCAACTTTTTTTAGTTAAGGTGACAAAGTGCAAAAACGGGCAAAGTCCAGATGGCGAAATGCTATTAACCCAATAAATATAACCCAATAAATAAAGACTGTTCAAAAACATTTACAATTCAATATTATATGTGTAACTGGTCTCGGTTAAATGCTATAATCCAGACTTCAATTATCACAAGCATACAGAAGAAAAAAAATATAGAAACATGAGTAAAATGGAAAGAAAGATGAAAGAAAATACATGCGGCAAATAAATTACAATTTGACAACATTTATGATTTATGTTCCTCACACACTTTTGCTGCCTGATCTCGTCTACATTACCGGTTTGTCCAAAATTAAGAACCTCAGTATATGAATCACCCTTACTTGCCTTCCCTGAAAAAGGAAAATCCGTCGTTAATTATTAAAAACTAGTTCAAATCGAGATTTGAAATTTTTGTTATTATGGATTAGAATTTATTTTTTTCTCTTACCTTGGAGAGAGTGTGGAATCGAGTAAGGTTCTAATAAGAGTCTCGACTTTCTTTTGGACAGAAGCGTCTGAAAAACGTTGAATAACCTCGGACGCGAAGGAGAAGATGAGAGCTCTTCTTGCAGTTTCGATATCAATGCCACGGGCTTGAAAGTAGAATAATTGATTCTCTTCCAAATCGTAAATCGCAGCTCCATGCGAACATTTAACATCGTCTGCTATTATTTGGAGATTAGGTTTCACATTCACCGTCGCTCTTGGCTTCAATAGCAAGCTCCTCGTCAGTTGCCCTGCATCCGTCTGTTGTGCTTCTCTGCGTATAAAAACCAGATTCATAGTTATTATTTTAAATATAAATAAATAAATAAAGAATCGTGTTGATCCTCATATGTTGTGGCAAAAATTCTGAGAATCGTCTTACAAATAATTTGGGCAATATGGTTAGGTTTGATGGACGATATAATATACTTTATTATTCATTATCATCATAAAAGATCTTAAAAATTCAACAAAATAAGTTGTTTGAGACCTTATAAGATCTTTTTTTAAGTGCCCGGTTGGCTAAGCTTATTTTAAACAGCAAATAAGCTTTAACTTATTTTAAACAGCTAATAAGCTCTTACGTCTGATAAGATGATGTTTTAAGAGCTGATAAGCAATTTATTTTTAAAATTTCTTTTTGAAGTGTTTGGATAATAAGTTTATCTGCTAATTTTACTAATTACAAAATCTTAAATAAAAAGGTCGGGTACAAGTACTTTTTAAAAAAGATCTAACTTGTTGTCCAACAAATTATTTTTTAGAATTTTAAGATCTTTTTAAAAAATAGGGTAAATTACACCCACACCCCTGAGGTATGCTTAAATAATTTTAAAGTCCCTATGGTATCGATAATTACACTCACCCCCTGAAACGTAGTTAGAAACTCTAACGGGATAATGCATTGGATACATTATTCCGATAGGGTTCTAATGGACTATTACTTTTAGCTAGTGGTGGAGATAACATACACCCCAATATTTCTTAAATCACCCATAACTCTTTGTTGTCTTCACCAGTTCCTGATACCAAGTGATACCAAGTTCCTGATACCAATAGTCTGTTAGAACTCTATCGTAATAACGTATCCAATGCATAATCCCATTAGAGTTTATAACTACGTTTCAAGGGGGTGAGTGTAATTAGCACTGGTTGCGATGAACTTTCCCGTTCTGACACCTCTTTCTTCAACTAGGTCGGACGCGCAAAGCGCTCCACCTGACTTAGAAGAGGTATTTGAGCGCATCTGTGATGAGTACAGCCGCTGTGTCCATGAGGCCGGCAGGCAATTACCCCCGCAATGGACCATGCCTGACCTTGTTCGGATGGTTCTTGGGGATGAAGCTCTTCAGCACGGCTTTCTGACGGATGCCTACTACGATGTGATGGTATGTGGTTTAATAGTTTGATGATTTGCTAGATCTATTCTTCCTATACCTAATTCTCTAGTCATAGATGTATTGTTGCGAATGCGCCTCAGTCTCCAGTGTTTTAGGAAGTGAGCGAAGTTCCCAATGTGATAGGAATAATAGCTTTCGCCCTAAGGCTTCATGAGAGCCTGAAAACTGGGGTTTGGTTATACAACAGGGACCTTAAAGTTATTTAAGCATACCTCAGGGGTGTGGGTGTAATTTACCCTAAAAAATATTACCAAACACTTTGGACGAACTTATAAGCTCTTAAACATCTTATAAGCTATTTTTAACATCTTATAAGCTTAGCCAAACACTTTCTTACCCCACCTTATTGTTTAAGATCTTATAATCAGTAAATATTATAAGCTCATTATCCAAACTCTTTAAAAATAAGACGCACCAACTTATCAGCTCTTAAAACAATTTATCACATGTAAGAACTTATCAGATGTTTAAAACAAGCTTAGCAAGCAAATGCACACTTTAATCAGAACTCAACTCCTATAGTTTACACAGTTTGATGAAGGATATTACGCAATACTAGGATTGTATAATCACAAATTCCAAAAATATCATAATCACATATAAAATTATCATGGACACTATATTTCTAACCGATTCAATCAATCATATATTAATCTCATAAACATTCCCAAACGAGTCCTTAAAACATAGATTTTCGACCACTTTTCTTTATGACATTGTTTTATTTTAATAATATTAAAAGAAAGCATTGATAAAACAAGTTCAGTCACAATCGTAAGCATAAAACCAATGATTATGTACAATGATAAATAAGATGGGATAAGAAGAAATTTCGAAAATACCTATTGACTTGAACATTGCCATCGAAAACAGCCTGGCCAAGTGAATGCGCTACGATACACTTGTGAAGTTGACGTGAAAATCCGCGTGGATGGTCCAACACGAGCTTGCTGTGCAAGTCTTGTAACTGATCGCCGATCGACAAATGAAATGTCGATAACTCGGTTACCGTATCCGGCCCTAATTGCTGCACGTGTACATTGTGCCTGCTCAATTTCCCACCAGTGCTCACTTCACTCATCTCGTACGCACTGTTACGCTCCTGCAAATGTATCACACGACATGTAAAACACACAAACACAAGGGCCTCGTTTGGTTGCCAACTTTACCCTATCATCATACCAAACATTAAACAAAGTTCAATTATTTAGTTAATCATGGTTAATCTCCCCAACCAAACAAGGCCATGATATATCGTGTCAATCGTTGAATAATTGGCCGATGCATGTGTTGCTTCTATTATTCGTAGACCAAACAACATTACTCGAGGCAGAGAAAAGATCCGCACACTACATACCGCATTTTTACTTAACCGATGGAAGCGACTCGAATCGATGTTTACATAATTTGATTTCCCATATCGGGACAAATATAAATCGGCATTTCTTGCAACAGCACAAAACAGAAACTTTTAAGACAATCGAGAATGTAGAATCTACCTGACGAACCGAAGTCCACTTAACATGCGCAGCGCCAAACGACTGTGTCTGAATATACGAATGGCTGACCTTCGCTCCATCCCCTACGAAAACTTCCATAACCGAATTCGTCCAATAACACTTGTCATTATCCCCATCTCCACTTATATACTCCTCGACTATACTAATCTCTGCACCTTTCTCAACCACCACCAAAACCCTAGGATTCGAAATCGGCAGAATCTTCGATTCCTTATCACTCCCATTCACGGAAAAGAATCTCAAATGCAATGGAGTATCGACTTTGATTCCCTCGGGCACGTACGCAACGATCACATCGGAAGCACCGACACCGTTCAGAGACCAGAACATATCCCCTTCAAAACCCGAAACATATTTTGAAACCCTCTCGGTTATTACATTATCTGATTTTAGTGTCGACAAGGCACCGACGAAAACCTCGTCCGGCAATTCGGACAGATTCGACGAGGATTTTACGAGATAACCGTCGACGATTGCGAGGCTGGGGAAAAGGGTGTCGGCGAAAAGGGTTGAAGGATCGAGGGATTGGGTGGTGGTGGGTGAGGGGGGTATGGGTTGGATTTCGGAGTTTTTAATGAAGGAAGTGTCGGTGAATCGGAAAGACTCGTCTTTTCGAGAGGGCCAGGTGGTGGAGAGGAGGGATTGGGAGGAGATGTCCCTGAGCTTCTGGAGAGGAGAGGAGGCGGCGGCGGGGGCGGCGGAGGAGGAGGAGGAGGCGACGGAGTCTTCGAGGGTTTCCGCCAGGCGGAGAACGTGCGGGTCTGAGAGGATTGCGAGTGGTGTTGGTTTCTGGGCGAAGGGTTTGATTCTGGTGTTTCGCGGCGGCGGCGGTGGGCGGAGTTTGGGAAGGTAGGAGTTGAGGGTTTGGATAGACATTGGATGGGCGGTTACCATTGTTTTGGGAATCGCCGCCTGAGGTTCGCCGGGACTCGCCGGAAAATGTGGGATGTTTATCGGCCTGAGCTCGGTTTACTGTTTTAGGTCCACGGGGGTTTGTGAGTACTCTGTTTACTCACAATCAAGAATGGCCAATAATGGCTTAATTCCCACTTTGCACCCTTGAAATTGAGTATTTTGGTGTTTTGCACCCTTAAAAAATAATAATTGCACTTTACACCCTCAAAATACGATAAATCATTTACAATGGAGCCTGAATTGAATAATACATGGCATTACATTTTTTATTGATTTTATTTTATTTTATTTCTAAGGTGTCAAGTAACAAATTAAATTGTTATTTTCTTCAAACTTCAACCTAGTTTTGAGCTTACCAAGTGCAAAAAAATAAAAATCACATTGGATTATTGAAAAAAAACTATATTTTCTTACAAAATAAACTTTTATCACTAAGTTATTCGATTGATGGATGTTATATTGTAATTGGTGGAAATATGAAGTATAAATATTTTTATTTTATTTTTTTATTCGCAAAATATTTTTTTGTGATAGAAAATATATTTCAATATATTGATGTAGGGCAAATTACAAACACCCCCCTGAGGTATGGTCAAATTACAAAAAAATCCCTCTTGTTTGGATAATTACATCTACCCCCCTCAACTATGATTTTTTCTTACACCTCCACCCTTATGGTGCCAAATTCAACATAATCATCTAGATTCCGTGAAATGTGCTCTAGTTTGTACTCGTTTTGTGTAAAAATACAGTTTCCGATGCACCACAAACTGATATATACAAGCTAAAAATCACATATTATGATCATCTTGCTTCATAATGTAGAGTTTGAATGGGATAAAACGGGTACAAAAGTGATAATATTCCATTTAATCTCGAAGATTCCACTAAATTTGAGGAGTTGAGGGGTGGTTGTAATTATCCAAACAAGAGGGGTGTTTTTGTAATTTGACCATACCTCAGGGGGGTGTTTGTAATTTACCCTATTGATGTATTGTATTTTTATTTTTGCACATTTTAGTTACAAAATGATTGATGAATGAAAAAAATCATATTTATCATTCTAAAACAATACCAGTAAAAATATTAAATTACCTATATTAACTTTAATAATTTCATTCGGTGTGCATTATGCATGATTTATTGTATTTTGAGGATGCAAAGTGCTATTAATTTATTTCGAATGAGCAAAGTGCCAAACTGCTATATTTTAAGGGTGCCAAAGTGGGATTATAAGCCGGCCAATAATACAGTAGAAATGGAACAAGATTCAATCCGAATAACTCATTTTGGAAACATTTCAATGTTTCATAAAAAATGAAAATTAATTTCAATCTATATATAATATAAAAAGAGGATCTATGCCCTCAATGATTGACATGTGGCAAATGATGATGTCATTTATCAAAATTGCTTAGTTGGAGTTCAATTGATGAGGTGGATTCTTCAATTGATGAGTTGTCAATTTTATTTTGGTATGTATTTAATTTATTTCCTATTTAATATTTATACAATCATTTAAACAATTACCACATGTATATATATTATTTACAAAGTTAATATTTTATAAATTCGAAATAAAAAAGT